GATAACTGTCCGACAAAGAAAATCGTAATTTGTGTTTTAAGAAAACACCAGCTGGAATAAAACAGTGTAGACGAGACAATGTGACGGACGCGACTATCAAGCTTTAAGCTTCGAGACGATTGAGAAAACGAGCATTAGAGTGGTACAACAACACCCCGGGAATAGCCGGTAAATCGTGGCCACAGTTGAAGGAGGAATTGGTCAAGGTATTTCGAAGTAGAGAGGATCCATTGCCACGTACAAAGAAGATGGAAGCGGGTATGTGGAAAGTAGGTGAAAAGTTCTCTTCTTATTTTCAAGATAAATTAAAACTAATCAACCGACTTGATTTGACGGAAGAGATTTCCATTAAGCACATGATAGAGGTAGTTCCAGATTTTCTGTTGAAGTATCACGCACGGGCTGGAAATTATAGTACTTTTGTTGACCTTTTGGACGGGATGCAACGAATTACTCGCAACGAGCTGAGAATCGAAAAAAGGAGCCATTACAAAACAAGGTTCATTTACAGTGGCTTCAAAAAATGTGAAAAGTAAACCCAAATCCGAGGAAGCTAAATTAAGTTTACGTGTGAGATGCTACCGGTGTAATGAATTTGGACATGTGTCGACCGAGTGTTCCAATCCCGAAAAAGATAAAGGTGCCTGCTCTAAATGTTCAAAAACAGGCCACCAAGCGCGAAATTGTTCCACAAAATCACCGAGAGTGTCAGGAGGTGAGAGATGATCAAGTTCAACGAGCGGATCGAGCTCCAGGGAGGACACAGTGGCCTTCATTAACGAGAGATCGGGAGAGGTTTCGTCGGACAAAATAATCGAGCCACCAACTCTGTAGATGGAGAAGAGGACGCCGATGATCGAGCCCAGTTCTTCGGATACTGTTCTGCTTTGTAACGAAATAGATGATAAGTATTACTTTGAGGCTTTTGACGATAATGGTACCCTATTGAAAAAAAACACGTATAATTGTACGTATAATAATACGTATAATTATACGTATTATTATACGTATAATTATACGTATAATTATACGCATAATTATACGTATTATTATACGTACAATTATACGTATTATTATATGTACAATTATACGTATAATAATACGTATAATTAATTATACGTATAATAATACGTATAATTAATTATACGTATAATAATACGTATAATTATACGTATTATTATACGTATAATTATAATTCTATTAAAAATAGAATAATAGAATAGAATAATTAGTAGCAAAATTGCGCTGGAAATTTTTAGAAATTTTAAAATGCAAATTAAATTTCACGAAAAAAAATATCGTCGAATGTCAATTCAAGCAGTCACCCATCCAAGTACTAACCGCGTCCAACGTTGCTTAACTTCCGTGATCTGATGAGAACTTGTTCTTTCGCCTTGGTGTTTCCGCTGTCTTGTCTTGATTAATAACTTTGTCGTATAAGTATTGTATCGCACCTCACTTTTAGTGATACTTATACGACAAAGTTATTAATCAAGACAAGACAGCGGAAACACCAAGGCGAAGGAACAAGTTCTCATCAGATCACGGAAGTTAAGCAACGTTGGACGCGGTTAGTACTTGGATGGGTGACTGCTTGAATTGACATTAGACGATATTTTTTTTCGAGAAATTTAATTTGCATTTTAAAATTTCTAAAAATTTTCAGCGCAATTTTGCTACTAATTATTCTATTATTATTCTATTCTATTATTCTATTTTTAATAGAATTATAATTATACGTATAATAATACGTATAATTATACGTATTATTATACGTATTATTATACGTATTATTATACGTATAATTAATTATACGTATTATTATACGTATAATTATACGTATAATTCTTGTTTCAAATTCGTATGTCTTATTATACGTATAATTATACGTATAATAATACGTATTATTATACGTACAATTATACGTGTTTTTTTTCAATAGGGTAGTCCCATTTCTTTGTTGAGACAATATAAACACAAGTATGTTTTTGTAAGATTTTTAAAACATAGAAAATTATAAAGAGAAATGCAATATAAGTTAGCAAAAATAACTGCTCGGGGGTTTTTGGGGTTTTTGATTACGAATCTAATGTTATTTTTTTTAAATTCAAAATCGCGGATTCAATATGGCGGGAGATTTTTTTAAAAAAATTATCAGATCTGCCTGATACTTGTTTCTAAGGGGTTTTTGGGGTCGTTGATTACGGAACTAATGTAACTTTAAAAAAATAAAAAAAACAAAAAAATGGAAGCAGTGTTTTGTAACCTCCCCGTGGTTGATCCCAGTGTTACGTTCCGAACTAGGCGTGGTTTTTAAATAAATTGTAATTTATTTACTTTGAAGGTAATAAGGCTGATTAATCAGGTTGGAAAAGCCTGATATTTATTTTTATGTAGGATCGTGGTCACTTGTCAAAACTACGGGTCTTGCGTTGCAATGACAAGTCAATTATTCCCTTTTATAACATTTATTGATTAATATTATATAATAATGATACAAGATTACAATTCTGTTACTAACTTTTAGCAATGAAGTCGGATATATTGATGATTATAGCTTAGTTGTTATAAATTGGTTTTGATTTAATTTGAAATAGTTTGTTTTGTTGCTCTTGTGTAACTTTAACGACTTTAATTGTTTTATACCTATTTAAAGAATTACAATATTCTTTATTGTTTTTTCTCGTCACTCGCACTTTGACAAGAATGAATTTTATTGCAGGTGTAAGAGAAGCAACATATATTAAATTGATAAATTTAGGAAAGAGATAATGCAAAATTTCTTTAGTATTTATATTTATAAATACGACAGTTAATTTTTATTAAATTGTTGATTCTAAGTGTTAATTTGCTTCTCTTGCACCTATTAGCTATCAGGAAAGAACTATGTTCTAAGTGAAAAGTCAAAATAACTTGCACCTATTAGCTATCAGGAAAGAACTATGTTTTAAGTGAAAAGTCAAAATAACTTGCACCTATTAGCTATCAGGAAAGAATACAATAATTATCGCGAAAGAAAACTGAAGGGTCGCTCTATGATGTTAGAGATTGCACCGGAACTTCGACAAGCTTTATGGAAAAAGCTCTTGTTTATATACTAGTCGATTATGCTAATTAGTGGGAGAAATGTCACATTATTAAGGAGGGGGTGATCTAAAAATAGGATCTTTTTCCTTATATAGTAATGATCTACATCACATATGACAATGAATCTTCTTCTCAGAATTCTCTTTCCTATATGTTCATAATGGGGTTTCGAACAACGAAGATCATATAACATTTGGATCTTCACGCGTGTAAACAAACAAGCTTGAACTTGTTTTACATTCGCTTATATGTACCTTATTTTTAGCTCTTTATTCTCTGAATTTTATGGTGAAAACAAATGTCATTTCTTTTTTGAGATCGATTTCGTTTTCCCGCTCTATCCTATTAATATATACATACAGAAAGACATTAAAATAAGACATATAGTTTAAAATATACTAAAATTATGATAGGATTATGTGAAATGTCTTATTTTAATGAATAATTAAGAGGAAAATTAGGAAAAATTGATACCGTGATGTAACACCCAGTAACTACAAGTAGGTAGGCAAATGTCAAAAAATTGGCCCTGGATTTCTAAACAGCCATCGCACATTCGATAATTTTTTTTAAAAATCGTACGCCATATTGGATCCGACATTTTGAATTTTGAAAATTTTGAAAAACTGACATCAGATTTGTAATCAGCGACCCCAAAATCCTCTAGGTTTGAAGTTCATGCAAATGTGATAATTTTTTTAAAAAATCATCCGCCATTTTGAATTTTGAAAAACTAACATCAGTTTGTAATCAGCGACCCAAAAAACTCCCCTAGGAATGAGTTTCATTCAAATCCGCTAATTTTTAAAAAAATCATCTGCCATATTGGATCTGACATTTTGAATTTTGGCAAACTGACATCAGATTTGTCAACAGCGACCCCAAAAACCCCCGAGTAACGAGTTTCATACAACTCTGATAATTTCTTAAAAAATCGTTCTCCATATTGTATCCGTAATTTTGAATTTTGAAAATTTTGAAAAACTGATATCGGATTCGAAATCAGCGACCACGAAAACCCTTAAATACAGTGGGTGATGAATTTTTCGTTACTTTAAAAAAGTCAGGCATTAAAGGGTTAAGGTTTTTGGGGTCAGTGAATCCAAATTTGACGTCAGATTTAAAAAATTCAAAATGTTATTTATTGTGAATTGTCATGTTACAATAACATGTTGTATGTTTGTTTGCAACAAGTTTGCATGTTTGTTTATGCGCGTGAAGAATGTGAAGATTGAAGTGTAATATGATCATTGACATTTTCATGACATTTCTCCCACTAATTAGCATAATCAATATACAATTTACAATTTAGAACTTTTAAAAATATTTTTTTGTATAAGATATCCTTGTTTAAAGTTGACGTTTAAAAAATTGATAGGTTTCGTTGCAACTTGTCTCTTGGTGGTTTCCAGGGTCTTTAACAGAAGTGTACAAGGTTTCTATCAGATATCTCACAGTGGTTTCCAATTTATTTTTATGTACTGAACGCGATCATGTTTTTTGGGGAATTTACCCCTATTTTTTAATATCCTGACGTAATACACAGTTTTGGAACTCGTGATATTGTTCAGCACACAAAAATATATTGGAAACCAATGTGATATTAAATAAACCTTGTATACATGTGTTACTGACCCTGGAAAATCCCAGGAGACAAGATTCAACGAAACCTATCAATTTTTTTAAACGCAAACCTTACACAAAGCATGTAACTATCAGGACGGAACTTTTAAGTCCACCCGGTAAGATTACTACATGCTTACGATGTAACCTTACAATCCATACAAATAATGATACGACAACCTTACAGCAATAAGTTGTGCTGTGTGGGATAAGATAAATTTAATATTAATATATCTAACAATATCCGTTTCACTAAGGATGAAAATTTACTTGAATATCTTTAATTACAGATAACTCAAAATCACAATTTGTTCAACCTGAAATAACCTCAATTGAGCAGTTCGATGACTTTAGTATTAGCAGTGTAAAATCTAATTTAAGCACCGAAAAATTGCAGGTAATATATAGATATAGCGTATTTTTACAAATTTAACTGTAGTGACCGGGAAGAAAGAGTACGAAGCAAGAAGACTAGAAAATTTTTCGTTAAATAAATAAATTTAAAAAATCGCATCTTTTGGAGTTTTTGGGGTCACATGATTAGAAATTCAAAGCTGGACAAACAACAAATTATCAAAATTCAAAATAGCAACAAACTATTTACAAAGGTTAGTTTTAAAACAAAATAAAACGAATTTTATTTTAATAATAAACAAATAAGTAAGGTGGAGGTCGACAAACAAACAATCTCAAAATATTAAATGATCAAAACGGGAATTTCGAACGATGATGCCAAAGCCTTCAAGTCCAGAACAAAGGAGAGAAAAAGAGAGAATCAGTTGAGAGGTTCCTATTCCAACGAAGAGAGAGAGAGATGATTCCGCAGACAGATGGGCGCCAGTCCTTTCATGGGACAAAAAAAAGAGATAACAAATTCTCGAGATCGTGAAATAATTAAATTTTTATTTTCCAATTTAAAATGAGACTAAATCACCAAAAATTGTCAAAATTAAAAATTTAGCAAAAAAAAAAGATTTATAAAATCATTATTATAAATAAATGAGACCGGATCTCAACAAAATACTCAAATAAAATCAAAATCGGCAAAAGACTAAATAAAAAAAAATCAATAAGATACGCGAAATAAAAATAAAAGGATATAAAAGGAAGAAAAGGAACTTTGCAACGTTTCGCAAACATTGCTGGTAGCATTCAGGGGAGCAAAGGCCGAGATTTAGTAAAGAATTTGCATCACTGGAATTAAGATAAAAAAAATATAAATGATATTTTATTCAAAAATAGGGGACTTTGGGAATCAAATACAAATAATAATAATACAAAATAAAATATCTCCTAACGCGACATTAATTATGCGAGATAAAGTATAAAGCCATTTCCAAAAAAATATAATTCATAAACAAAATTGCAATTCCAAAAAAATAAATCGTAACAATGGAGACGCGGAAATATCGATTAATATGGAAGGCAATTGCAAAAAAAAAGGAAGTTAATAAATGGCGCTTTAATCATGATTTCTCAAATCTTTTGGTCAATAAAAAAAGAAATTAACACATTTCAAATCGCAAAAAAAAGAATCAATGTTACAATAAAACATAATTGACGGAAGCGCATAATAAATAAGTTGATAATCCTGATTCCTGTGAGCTGAAAGAAAAGAGGGGTAACGGTATCTTTGGGGAACAAGGAAACGTCGATCTCCAAGGCACGATAGGGGTAAAAGGTATCCGGGGCAAAAAAAATTATTGTTCAAAAGAACAAATCGGGGCAAAAAGGTATCTGGGGAAAAATAGTAAAGTATCATAACGAGCGACACAAAGGGGTCAAAGTGCATAACAGAGTTTCACAAAAACGTCGTTCCAAGGAACGCAATGAGTAAAATGGTATCATGGGGTATAATGGTATCAAGGGGGAAATGGTAATATGGTATCATTAGGGAGAAAACGAAGCGTTAATTAAAGTAACACATGCGTGGTAATTTCGGTATCGTTGGGGGAAAAACAAAGCGATAAATATTTTGTGACGCTTGGGGTAATTTGGTATCATGGGGGATAAAGCGAAGCGTTAAATAAAGTAACACATGCTGGGTAATTTCGGTATCGTTGGGGAAAAACAAAGCGTTAAATATTTTGTGATGCTTGGGGTAATTTGGCATCATGGGAGATAAAGCGAAGCGTTAATTAAAGTAACACATGCGGGGTAATTTCGGTATAGTTGGGGAAAAGCAAAGCGTTAAATATTTTGTGACGCTTGGGGTAATTTGGCATCATGGGGGATAAAGCGAAGCGTTAATTAAAGTAACACATGCGGGGTAATTTCGGTATCGTTGGGGGAAAAACAAAGCGTTAAATATTTTGTGACGCTTGGGGTAATTTGGCATCATGGGGGATAAAGCGAAGCGTTAATTAAAGTAACACATGCGGGGTAATTTCGGTATCGTTGGGGAAAAACAAAGCGTTAAATATTTTGTGATGCTTGGGGTAATTTGGTATCATGGGGGATAAAGCGAAGCGTTAAATAAAGTAACACATGCGGGGTAATTTCGGTATCGTTGGGGAAAAGCAAAGCGTTAAATATTTTGTGACGCTTGGGGTAATTTGGCATCATGGGGGATAAAGCGAAGCGTTAATTAAAGTAACACATGCGGGGTAATTTCGGTATCGTTGGGGGAAAAACAAAGCGTTAAATATTTTGTGACGCTTGGGGTAATTTGGCATCATGGGGGATAAAGCGAAGCGTTAATTAAAGTAACACATGCGGGGTAATTTCGGTATCGTTGGGGAAAAACAAAGCGTTAAATATTTTGTGATGCTTGGGGTAATTTGGCATCATGGGGGATAAAGCGAAGCGTTAATTAAAGTAACACATGCGGGGTAATTTCGGTATCGTTGGGGGAAAAACAAAGCGTTAAATATTTTGTGACGCTTGGGGTAATTTGGTATCTGTGGTTTCACTTTTGGGTAAATTGGTATCTGTAGTTTCACTATGGGGTTTCATTTCGGGTTCGTTTTAACAATAATACACAATGGGAAATATGAAATTGTAAATTTTGATAATTAGAATAAAGAAAAGAAAGAAAGATACAAAGCGAAACAATATTCAAAGACTTACATATTACCGAGGAGTCCTGGTCCGTGGTCGAGCGAAATCCATGACAAAAAAAAGGTTTTTCAGACAATTAACTCACCAAAAAAATTATGTTAAACGCCATAATACATCGATCATAAATTGCCCATAATTATATTCACAATTTAGGACACACGCGAGTTAATTTATCACTTAGCATAAATGGCGGGGAAACGAAGGCCGATAGAACCACTCAGAAAAAACTACATTTCACAGTAAATCCAAAGGCTTATGACGAGACTAAGGGACAGTTTCACCAACTTTAATTAAAAGTTAATCAGCGATTAAATCCCTAACCGACCAATCATGAGCGATTAAATTGGCTTTAATCGTTAATTAACTTTTAACCGGATTTGGTGAAACTGACCCTTACTTTAGAATCTCAGCGAACGTAACACTGGAATCGAAACTCAACGAGAAGCAAACTTGCGAATTGCGGTAGGGAAGTAAAAGAAAAACTTGCGTTACGCAAAGAGATTTTCGAGCACGTGCGTTGCCGATGGCTGCAGCTTCGAAAGAGAGTGAGAGTGGTTCCCTTTTGGCCCTTGCCGGCCTGCTTGTCCCCCTCCGCCTACTCATAAGAGACTTGTATCACTACGCGCGATAAGGGACGTAATAACTGAACGAAAATAGTAAATTGTCGTATAATTTCGACATGTAAATTCACGTTCTCTTATCTTTGTATTTGTTTGAATCTGCTTTCCTCGGCCTCAACCTCCATAAATCTATGAACGGGGTTTGGTATCGAGAATTCTGATTAATGGAATCAGGGGGAAATATTCTGACCAAAGTGCCGAAAAGAACTACGGGCCTGAACGAAGGTGTCTCTTAACAGCTATAGAGAATAGACGAGGAAATTAAAAATGCAATATCAACTTCTAGAACCGAATCTCAAAGTTCCGAAGGGAGAGAAATTAAGTAATTTCTATAATAAAATTGAGGGGTTCTTTTATAAAGTGGTGCAATTGCGGGTCAATTCAAAGATAATCGATTTTCGGGTACAAATTCAATAGAGTTTTGGGTAACGTATTGGTTTCCTCTCAACAGGCGGGCGGAGGTGGCAAGGCGGCACAGGCGCGGTGACACACGAAGCAGGAACAAGGATAATGCCGAGAAAATCCTACTGTATTTGAATCGATACTGTACTATGTGGGAACGGTTTCTGGGAATTACCGAGCGGTTTCGTAGAAGAGATGGCCTTGTGTGAGTGTGACAACACTATGACGGGTAGTTGTAGTCACGCTGCATTCCAATGGCTTCGCAGAACATCACAAAAAAAAGTTTCCAAGGTTCCAAGGGGGCTCGCAGGATACATATGAAAAAGATATTATTCGACAACAATTACACAGGCACACAAAAAAAAAAAGTTGTCTGTTTCTTGAACTACACATATATTTCCTATAGTATTTTGGCCCGCTGAAACCGAATCTGAGCTCAGAATTGCTCCATCACCCTCAGTTTTTTTTAAATCGACCAAAACCACCCTGAAACGGACAAATTCACACTTCGGAGATAAAAAATAAATCAACTTATTTTTTAAAAAAACCAAATTTTATATCTACGAAACTTTGCTCCACTAACTCAAAAACAAAGCCAGCATTGATCCAGCACCCCCTGAATTTTTTTTAATGAAAAAACTACCCCCAATCTGAAGAATCAAATTCAGGAGGTAAAACAATAAAATAACTGATTAAAAAATTTTATAACCAGATATTTTTACTCCAGCAATGCAGAAACAAAGCCAGAAATGCTCCCTCACCCTTTAAAATTTTTTTAAATCGAAAAAACCACCCTTAAATAGAAAAATTCAAATTTAAGAAGTAAAAAAATATTAAATTACCGGCTTTTTTTAAAAACAGAACCTTACATGTTTATAGTTTTGCTCTACTAACTCAAAAAAACAAAGCCAGCATTGATCCAGCACCCCCTGAATTTTTTTTAATGAAAAAACTACCCCTAATCTGAAGAATCAAATTCAGGTGGTAAAACAATAAAATAACTAATTAAAAAATTTTATAACCAGGTATTTTTACTCCAGCAAGGCAGAAACAAAGCCAGAAATGCTCCCTCACCCTCTAAAATTTTTTTAAATCGAAAAAACCACCCTTAAATAGAAAAATTCAAATTTAAGAAGTAAAAAAATATTAAATTACCGGCTTTTTTTAAAAACAGAACCTTACATGTTTATAGTTTTGCTCTACTAACTCAAAAAAACAAAGCCATCATTGATCCAGCACCCCCTGATTTTTTTTAATCGAAAAAACTACCCCTAATCTGAAGAATCAAATTCAGGAGGTAAAACAATAAAATAAC